TTAAATATTGGAACTATTGGGCATAAAACTAAAAATACATCATCGTGAGGACTCGAAGTCTGTTCAAATATGAAAATCATCTTTGTTCACGGGAATCCTTCTTGTAATCGTTAACATATGAAATGTTCGTGCATAGCATGTAAGTGTGTTTATGGAGTCTCTCCGTACAAACTTTCATACGTCTGTCACCAAACGCACGTTAGTTATCACAATCAAATGAAAATCTCTATAGATTTGTAGCTTTGTAACTTCTTCTTGCTCTTGTGCGTTCCAAGAAAATGACAATTCAACTTCCCCCAATCAAAGAAAGCGATTAAAATTACATTTTCTTTCAATGTCATAATTCACAAAGCTTTAAGAAGCTGTATATTTCGCTCCTCAGATATCACACGGTCTTTTTATGGATATTACAGATGGTAAGAAATTAAAAGCAGAAAAGCGGGTCAGTCTCTGGTGACATGATGTCCATACTAAGTTTCATAGACACCCTTCAGTTGGTTCCAAATTTATTTGAAAGGAAAAACATAGACGTGAGAATGTTATAAACCAAAGCTTCGTTTTCTTACTCAATAAGGAAAGTACACCAAAAAGGATATATTTGTGGAGTGGCACTTGTATCAGCGTAGATACAACTGAATATTACCTCTGGTTCCACTGATTGAAATGAAAGCTATGAAGAGAAGACGGTCGAAGAGAGCTAGCAACAATGAACTAAAAACATTGGCAACTATTCTTAACTGCCCATTACCTTGACTTCCGATATGGAAAAAATAAAAGCACAAAAATAGTAATCTACTGGAACAAATATGGAAGAACTTGATTACCTTGAAGTGCAGATAAGATATAAAGGCTTAAGTAGAAAATCCACTTTATAATGTGGCACGCTGTAGGAACTGGTTACACTAAGGCTGCTCTAAGGCGGCGCCATAGCTCAAGCGGTGAGTCGCTGGCTTCCCACCGCGGCGGCCCGGGTTCGATTCTGGGTCTGGTCAAGTGGGATTTGTGGTGGGCAAAGTGGCGCTGGGGCAGGTTTTCTCCGAGTACTTCGGTTTCCCCTGCCAATCTTCATTCCACCAATTGCTCCACAATCACCCTCACCTATCATCTGGGGCTGGTACAATAGGCCAGAAGTGGCCGCAGTACAAGGGACTTAGTCCCACCCCACTAGCAATAAAAAAAAGGCTGCTCTGCTTGTCCCTTGCCATGCACCCCCCATTTCCAAGCATGATATCTGCGCTCTATTGACAAGCGCAGTTTTTAAGGATGTGCTCTCTATTCTTTGTCGTGACCTCTCATTTACCAAGAGATATGCCAGTACCCTAGTGATAACGGCGTTATTTCGAGATTGCTTTGTCTTCCTCTTGCCGTATATTCGCCCACGCTTGTACCATAGTGACAACCGCGTTATTTCGAGACTATATTGTTTCACTTGCAGTGACTCCTCCCCCTCCTAGAAGCGTGGCAGCAAGCTACTGATAACCGCGTCATTTCGAGACTGTACTGTGTTTTCCTTGCAGTGCCCCCTGCTATATCTACGTCATTGACATCCGCTTTATTTCATTGCTTTATCCTTGCTGAGCCCATCCGCCGCATTCAAGCGACATGTTTGCATCCAACTGCATTATTTTGTGGTTGTACCCTGTCCTCTTGCCCTTGCCCCATCGTTGCTTTACCGCGAACTACATCCGCTACAGTTATGAATGCATAACGTGATTTGGCTTTTTTATTCTCTTTCCATTAGAAACTTGTTCCTTCGTTTGGCTGCTCGCATGGGTCTGGCTGCGTCACTGTTGCTGGACACTGACCTTATGACGTCCAGTGTACTGGCAGTCACGCCTCTCTTCTTCTGGTCTTGATGTCCTGCTCTTGCCAGTGGGTCAGAATATTTCTTGAGGCAGGCATGCAAAAGGAAGTTGCGTTGCGCGGCACCGTGAGGCATGACACCTCGAATAACGATAGAGCTCCCTCTGTAATATTTAAGTAGAAAAGTTCATAGAATGCAGTCATTACATAAAGATAACAATAAATGCCAACATCTTACATCATGCCTGATATTTAGATAAGGACAGCAGTGCGACTGAAGGGGAAGTGGCCGTGCGTTCTAAGGCGTCTGTTGAGTTCTGTCGCGGGAGAACTTGGATTGTCGGTTGGAACCCCACTCAGGGAAATCATGCGTATATGCCTACGTTTCGTCTGTGTCTGTGTTGTCCTACAGAGGTAGGGGCCGATCCCCCATCTAAGGAGTCCTACCAATCGTTGACAACAAGATTCCGATATCCAGAGAAAAGTGTCTGAAGAGCTCAACAAGAAGTAACTACCGCTAACTACGTATGCCAGTGTTTAATTGCCTGATCAACGGTATAGCTTGTCTAAACGGCACTTTTTCTTTTCGTGGAGGATATCAAACTGAGTCAAAAGATCACTTTTCCTTAGTCAGTGCTTCGTTAAGGAGTTACGCCCGTCTACAATTTCAGCACCATTAGACCAGGGTTACAAATATTTCCTTGGTCAGTCTTTAATCATGTTTTGGTATAAGCCGACGGCCCTCTTGGGACGTTGAGACTCCAGTGGTCTGGCGTCCACAATCATCTAGCTTCGACCTGATCAGTATCTAGGGGAAATGCGAATACCACCGAAACTCAAGAAACATATCCTATTACGTTAAGCAACGATGTCTCATGCCTCTTGTCATGCCAACGGAACTGGAAAGACTACGCATGCTCAAACCGTAAGTCAGCATTACATGTTAGGTTCCTAGCATCATTCCGCAAAGGAAGATACAATTTAGAACGAAGAGATTAGCTCAACGGTACAATCCTCTTTCGTAACTGTCTGGACGGAATCTTAACCGGAGTTCCTTGTATATTTAGAAGAATTATTTACAGTTTTTGTTAATTCCTTTCGGAAATCTGAGGTAATTTCCTGAAACTAAGCAAGTGAATATCCAGAAGAAAGCAGTCTTTTTGGATTTGGCACCGTGTATATGTGGTGTTAACCGACGTTTCGGAGGAACGTATCGCCCCCATCTTCAGGGTAGAAAAAAAAATATAAGAAATCTGCAAGCGAAGAGAC